ATTGCATCGAGAATACGACGAGATACTCCAGTCATTCTCTCCCAACTACCTCCCATGTGTGAGGAATGTGGCGGATTGAACAACCAAGTACAACCTTGCTCTGAAAGGTAGTTTTCCACAGGTTTGTTGGCATGCTTAGAACCAACCTGTAGTTCTTTACTGGCCCCTATAAAGTTTGTCCCACAATCAGACCTCAGTTGTTTCACAGGTCCTCTGATTGCAAAGAATCGTCTAAGGGCATTGATAAAGCAAGATGCATCCAGTGATTCAACAATCTCAATGTGAATGACTCGTGTACTCGTACACGTAAAAATGACTGCCCAGCGCTTGCTATTATTTTGTCCTCCTCGTGTTCTTCTTGTAGTGACAGACCATGGACCAAACACATCTAGACCTACATAAGTGAATGGAGGATCGGTGCTCAAGCGATCAACAGGTAGGTCTGCCATTCTCTGTTCTTCCAACCTACCCCGTAACTTACGACATGTTACACAGCTGTGTATTAGACTACTGATACATCTCTTGCCACCTACAATCCAGAATCCAGCTGCCCTAACAGCTCCTTCAGTGAAATGGCGGCCTTGGTGGCAAACTCTTTCGTGGTGGTGTCTGATGAGTAGAGAAGTAACATAGTGTCTACCTGGAATTATAATTGGATGCGCTTCATTTCATGGAAGTTGTGCTTTTGACAACCGTCCTCCAACTCTAAATAGACCTTGAGAGTCAATAAAGGGACAGAGTTTGACAAGGGCGCTTTGTTTCTGAATAGGTTTTCCCTTTTTGATGTACAGCATTTCCTCTGAATAGATCTCGGTTTGAACAGCAAGAAGAATTTTAGTCTTTGCATCATCCAATTGGACTGCATTCAAAGGTTCCTTGCACATATGGCAGCCGTGGCAGGAATCCTGTTTAACTACTTTTGAGAAAGAATGAGCTATATGTGAGAATCGTGCTACAGCTCTAGAAGCAGATGTCCAGCTTGAAAACCTTTCAAACCGTGCACTTCCAAGGCGTGGAGAAAGGTTTGTTAAACATGCCATTACCTCAGGTCGCAATTCTGCATCCAATTCAGAATGAAGGAGTTCAAAGGCCTCTACAACTGGTTGGCAGATCTGCATATGCAAAAGAAATGTTGGGCCAGTCAACCATGCAGAGGTGGTAAGCTGGTTTGCTGAAACAGTTCTCGTTCCACAGTCAGCTGGATTAAGATCAGTCTGAACATAGTGCCACTGATGTTTCTGAGATGAACGTCTAATTCGTTGCACTCTGTTATTGACATACACAAAGAAACGTCTTGATTCATTGAATATATAACCTAGAACCACCTTGCTATCAGTGAAGAATTTCATGTTCTTCAGTTCTAGGTCCAGCTCTTCAGAAATTACTTCTGCTATTTCTACTGCGAGAACAGCAGCGCAGAGTTCAAGTCTGGGAATGGTGAGATCAGGTTTAGGAGCCAGTTTTGCTTTACCATAGAAAGGGTTCATTGTGATGACCATTGCACTGATCTCGTACCTTATGCACACGAATGATGTCTCTGCCAAGCAACAAGAGAATCTTGGCATCATGGTCAAGAGGCGGAATCTTGTCAGCTACAGCTTTAAGATGGGTATAGTTGCGTGCAGCTTCTGAAGTTGGTATTTCGTCCCTGTTGTTAGGAATCAAATCACATTCCGTGAGAGTTGGTAATGATAGGCAGACTTCTTCATCTACTGACTCTACAATGAAACCACTTGCTCACCTTCCAGCAGCATCCGTCGTTCCAGAGCATGTTTTAAGTGTATATGGACAAGCATCACCTTGGATTTTGAAAATATCAAAAAAGGTTGATCTAGCTAGTGACACATTACTCTGGTCATCTAGTAGCACATACATTCTCACTTTCTTTTCGGGTTGTCCCTTTGGATAGACATTTACTAGACACATTTTAGAACAAGATTTACCTTGAGAGTGCTGTGACAAAATACGGTTTCGCTCTACAAGGGGTTTTCCTCTGAAAGCTCTGCACTTTTTTAGCGAATGGGTTTTTTTGTGAAGAGGACATTGTTTATCTGGATCCTCTTTTAAAAGCTCAAAAAAGAGAGGGTTTTCCACCTGCGTTCTGTTGACTGAAGTCACCCGCCGTGACGTCTCGCCCAGCTGTTAGTCTGATTACACACGAGATTCAGAGCCCGTCACGCTGAACGGCGTTCCCCTAGCGTTTTCGACGCAGCTCGAGTTCCTGAAGAGGAACTATCCTGATTGCAACAATTAAATAATTCCCAAGCGGAACAAAAAAAAAATGTCTATGGTTTTAGCTGAATAATATGAAATGAATTGACATGTATTAACAAAAATATATTACTTATTTATTCTAATAATTATTCTGAACATTTTAACTATTTATTGACCTTTTAACTGTAAAGTGCATATTATGAACTGAAATATATGAGAGTTGCCTCTGACGGCAGCTACACATTATTTGGTTATACTGAAAGTCTACTTAACTGTTATGTGACCCATGGGCTTGATAATTACGTTGTAACAATCACATCTTATGCGTTTTATGCCCACAAACATCTGCGTAGGAACCACACTTGACATTAATTAAACTAAATAAAAATGCCAGAGGCTTAAAACTTGTTCACAACATTAATTTTTGCCATAATTCAAGTACTCAGGTTGGGCACAATGACTGGCAAGTAAATTTCCATCTCTACTTCCTGTGAAATGATCATATCCATGTACACTTGTCCTTGTTTATAGTGCCACTTTGTTTCAATTTGTTATCTGATTTTGTTTTGATTTAGTTTGTTTTAGTTATTTTTACTTGACCGTTGCATTAAACCAGCATAAAATAGCTTAATCAAATTACTTTGGATATTAAAACAGTCATAGAGCCCATAAGACTCAGATTCAAAGTTCACAGATTTCCGAGCACAGCCACAAGAATAAGAGCCATTTTGATGGAAAGTGGGGTATTTGACAGAAAATCTGGAGTCCTCTGTCAAACATATCGCCTGTTCTCCCGTCAGTGCTCATCTGTCCATAGAGCAAAACATTAGCGCTTATAGCACTTAACGCTGCGGTATCAGCCGCACTGTAGTTATACATCATTTAAGACAATGAGGTCTGAAGTGTTCTGCCATTACGAGCCTTGCTGCCTTATACGGTCCAGTAAAGTTTTCATAGCTTAATCACCATGACTGACCTCTCACCCCATTCTGTCGGATTCGTCCACCAGAAACCACAGCCAACCTGAAGCGAGGACAGATTCGGTTGTTTTACATTTACATACATTTACGTTTCCAGCAGATGCTTACTTACTCAAGCAACTTGCAATATGGTACACAAATCACGTTAATGGCAAGTTACTGGCACAAATCACATCACTGGCGCTTCTCCAAAAACACTGTACGAGAAGTATGGGAAGATACAGTATGTGCATGTGGATAGGGAGAGGGAGAGAGGGAAGGGACGGACGGACGGACAGACGATGAAAAACAGCTCTTGCAGAGTGGCTGCTGTAAATGAAGACTCCTGCTGGGCTGAAGCTTTGATAGCTAGCAAAATTACAGCAATCAGGATCAAACACAGCATGCTAGGTCCACTCTCATTCACTGGCATGCCTGGAACAAAGTCTGGCCCAAAATAGCACGCCAAAAAAAGACACCTAGCTACAAATATACAGGGCTTCCAGGTTGAGTCTGCTGGTTTAAACTCACGCCGGCGCTCCTGTGTGTCTCCCTGTTGTGGGCCGCTGCTTATACTTCATTATTCATGCTTGACCAAGTGGAGTAATCCTAATTTAATATGTAATCAGTGATAACCTGAGAGACTGAGATGACCGCTCACCATAATTTGATTAAACAGTGGATATGCTGTGGATATAAGTGAATATGCTTCTATTTTGCTAATCTTTGTAATTTTAATATAACTTTTGGTCACACTTTAGCCAAAAGTATTAACTATGTGTTTTGTCTTAATAAACTCCTAATTTGCTGTTTGTTAGTTAGTAAGGTAGTTGTTAAGTTTAGGTATGGGGTAGGATTAAGATATCTTAAATATGGTCATGCAGAATAAGGCATTAAAGGGGTCATATGATGCGATTTCAATTTTTCCTTTATCTTTGGAGTGTTACAAGCTCTTGGTGCATAAAGAAGATCTGTAAAGTTGCAAAGACTAAAGTCTCAAATCATGATGTGATTTAAAAAATTTTAAATCACATCATATGACCCCTTTAACTATAATAACCCAGTAAAACGTTTGATTTAAATTTGTAAAAATACTAATCATTCTTTTTTACTTTACTGCCCTCACTATGTGTACACATACATAGCTATGCAGCAAGCTTAACACTCCTCCAACAAAGACTTGAGACAACAACTGAATCCAAGTGCAATTTAATGGAAGCGGTGTAAAAAGACAGTGCCTTTTCCAAGAATAAATTAAGTGTGGATGGAGATTGGTATCGTCTGTGTGCCCTCTCAGACACCTCACAACATCATGGCTCAACAGCACATGCTCTGCTTAAATATAGACATGTCACCACTAGGGGTCGCTAAACTGCGAAACTAGAGCTGAAAACAGCATAACCACGCTATACTCTTGGACCCCGGTTGCCGCTGGTTTGGGCTTTACGTGCATGCAGTCCGTCTTTCGTTTGATGCTTGAGAGCGACGTCACATTATTTTATGTATCATCACATAACACAACATTCTTGTTTAAAATTTGTCCAAATACAAAACCTTTGTTTATTTTGAGGTTTAAACTAGTTTTTAAATCTTAGATATTCAACATGGCATCACACTTCCAGCCCCACTGTATTTCACATTCAAGAGATGCAAAAGCAAATGCACAAAACACGCCTATTTATGAAAATTTACAAAAATGCTACAAAAATAATAATGAATAAAAATCAGCATCACCGCCGTGGCACAGAGTGCCCTTAAGGGGCAAAACTATGATTTGAATATCAACACATGAATACAAATTTTCTGTATGAAAATGAAGCAGAGGTCTCAGGCTCCACAGGAGGTTCTGTCTGTTGTCCTCTTGGGTTTCAGGTCTGGCCTTTCTCCCTCACCTAGTTCCCATATCTTTTCCCTCTCCTGAACCTGTGTGTCATTCAGGTTCAAAGGCCTCAGCCTTAAGCGCAGCCGTGCCGCTCTACTGTAGTGGCTCCTGAAGATCTCAAAGGCTCCTGCCTCTCTCATCTGCCACGCTCTGTACTACAAACACACCATTCATATTTATGAGAAATTAGGAAAACCTCTTTTCCACTCACCTTTTTTGTCCTACAAGTATATGTTTTTCTCAAGTGACTGACTTGAATAACAATGTAATTTGCTAGCTATACATATATTCTACTGTCAACAACAACTCTTTTTTGCCAAAAAGGTTCCTGTACTTGACTTACAAGAAGCAAAATTACTTAGACTGTTTACGTTTTCTACTTTTACAAGAGCTGTCACTTCTTGTAGTATAAAATAAGTCGTGTGAAAAGGGAAAGTGGCAGTATGCTGTGAACGTACATTTATCAGGAATAATGAGAGAAGTCAAAAGCCACACTCCAGACATTTAGACACTCACAGCAAATTTGTCTTTTCTTTCTAGGCCTGATGGGAAACTCCATCATTGCATTACATGAGTGCAGGAGCAATTTGAGCACCAGTGATAAAAAAAATTAAAAAAACACAGAGGTTCATCTTGTACTCACTTCTATCTTCAGGCCGAACTGTCAGTCTCAGAACAGCTGTGTACAGAAATACGAATTATACAATCTGAACGATATAGACCTCCCACATATTACAAACATGCCTGCAATCTAACCAGCGCCAACACACCCACACACACAAGCATGAATGCAGACACTGAGGGAAATTAATATGTTCTGCATTTGTATGCATACAGAAGTAAATTAAATTTGTACACAGAAATGGGTGAATGTCATAAACCCTGTCAAAAACATGTCTGTTTAATATTCTGCCTCTAAAAAAATTAAATTTAATACAATTTACATTATAATAAAAGAAATAAGTTATATTTTGATAACAGAAAATATAAAATCTATTTTAGGACCATGAAAGTTGAATTGTAATATGGCAATTTAGTACATTCCCCATCCACACAATAATAATAATATTAAACTATGGATATATAATAATAAATAATAAATAAAATTGCAATAATAAAAATTAAATACAATTCAATAATAATAATTTTGCTTCTAATTTTTTTTTTTGCAATTTTAAATAAAACATAATTGTATTACTGTAATTTTTTACCATAATACAGTAAAAATAAAATAACTGAATTATGGGCAGTCTACAAACTATTAGATTCATCACAAACTGTAAATAAATAAATACATAAATAAATACATACATATATAAAAAATAATTGTAAAAATCTACATGCATTAAAGTAAATGTACAGTATGTGGAAAATAATATGTTTTTTTAACTTTAAACCGCATAAACACATTTCATTACACCAAATACACAAAATAATGTTCTTTTTAGCAGCATCATATGACCCCTTTAATCTTAATACTCCTAGTTTTATTTAAAATAAACTTTCGGATTTTGGGGGATATGTAGATTCATTTGGGGTTGCAAAGTGGTTTTCTTGCAGAACTGTGCAAAACTGTTGCAGCAGGTTGAATTTTTATCCCATACTTTAACATACTGTATCAGTCACAGAGACCCGGTAAGCCTGGTTTCACTCAAATATGAAATTATCCCTTCAAACATCCTGAAAAATCAGAGGCTTCTTGCTAAACTACAAACTCCTTCCTGTTTTGTACTCTCTCTGTCTCACACACACACGCACACTGAAACACACACCACTATAAACACAATGACCCCTCCCTCCCTTTAGACCATTAGCAATAGACAAACCATTTTTTAAAATACAATAACAGGAGCACAATGACCTTTCCTCATAGACAGAGGACAGAGAGCATCTGACCCCCCCATTTCATCATCCCAAAGCAGCTAACAACCTCCGCAGCGCTAACCAAACCCTGACCTACTGCAAAGACAAATAACAGCTCCTGAAAAACAAATAAAATGTCAGCATTATAAATATTCATCGAGGTGTATTATAGCTGATGTAAACGTTTAAACTTTCATTACACAAGGCCTCATCTATGACCTAAGCAGTCATTTATAAGATGTGACTATGAATATTTATGCACGTTGCTCATTTTGGAAGGCGAGTTGCCACTGATTATGAATTATGAAGACATTAAGGAGTGATGCTTAGTCAGTTGAGTACGCACAGTAAACTTGTTTCAAGCTGCATTATTCATTACCTGTGTGATAGTAATATACTCCTCTGACTGCTGCTTTGGAAGAAAATCCACATATAATATCGCATCAGCTCCAACGCTAGACTGTTTAGAATTGGCGACTCGGCTTGTGACGACATAATGTCAGCTAGAAATCCATTAAAAAACATTAAAGCATTTACATAGGACAACTGGAATTAAGATAGGATAAACTGGCAGTTGGTTTCAAGCGATTGAATGTAAATATTTAACTTCATCCAGCTCTCTTTTTGTTCTCTGTGTTTGAAAGTTTCCCTTTACTGTCTGACGGAGCGAGAAACTGCTCCAAACAATTCAGTCTGCATCACGGCGACAATTAATCAATATAAATTCTCTGTTAATCCGCGTTATTTAATTCTTCCCTTAGTAATTTACTTAGTCTGTTCGCATGTGTCTTCATGTTTGCCAGCGGCAGAACAAATGCTTATTGGAAAGTTTGACTACAGAACAGTGGGTTTACTGAGCATGATGTGTCAATAATCATTTATGTATTTATTAATTACAGCTGCACATTGTAGTCACGGCTTAACACCCGCCATTTGGTTGTCGTGTTCATCAGCTGTGGTTAGGGATAATTTTTAGAGCGTGTCACTGACCACACCGGTCATTACGGTAATGATATGAATGATTATTTGGTAATATGATCTGGGCTTTGGTATGTTGTGCTGATGACAAAAGAGAGCCAATGCCAGCACTCACCTCTTTCTCACCGCAGATATTACTGATGATGGAGTTGGATGCCGGGCTGGCAGAGGGGCCCAGGACCGCCACAACCCCCTTGGACATGATCTGGCACACTGTCAATAGTTAAAGGAAAGACCAGCTGTCATTTATTACAGACAGAGAGCAGAAGGAAAGCAAGAAGTAACCCTGCCAAGAGTGCTGCTGCCCCATTTTTATTCAAGGATACTGTATCTGCCATGGAAGTCTATTATACCCAGAAAAAGCAAAAAGTACAGAGAGTTTTAGCATACTCATTCATCTCAATGCCAGTTGCTTGGCTGGCACATGTGATTTGAAATCTCAATGAAAACAATATGTGACTAATTACTTTGGATTTGCAAGAAATTGATGATAAAACCAATTTAATTACAATAATCAGTGGTGCTAATAATAATACTAATAATAGAATAAAATAATCTTTAAATAATAAGATAATTAATAATAATAAAAAATAATAATCATTACCACAATATTAACAATTAGTAGTAGTTACAGTGAAACAACAACAATAACAGAATAAAAATAAATCATTAATTAATAGCTAATATCAACAATTATTAATAATAAAATAATCACCACCGTAATATAAACAACTGTTAATAATAATTAGGGGTGGGCAATATACCAGTAGACACGATTAACCGGTAGAGATTTTCGACTATCGTCTCTATTACGTTACACGCTCACGTGACATTGCTGTGCTATGTGGTCACGGAAACTTATCGTTTGCATGGGTTTTTAAGCATCGCGGTTTAAAAACAAGTGATTTGAAGCCACTGAAACACAATCAGCAGCAAAAGAGAACTCATTTTGCTATATCTTTTTGCACGTCAAGACGTTTTTTTTAAGCTTTATAGACTTTGAATGGTTAAATACACACCTGTATGTGTCAAAATGCCTACCTTTGCAAGTATCCTCGTAAACACAGTAATTTAGGTCTTAAGTGGAAGCAAACAGCTAGAAAGAAAACACGTGTAACAGTTTATTGGAGCCGGGCAGCTCTTAAAGTGACAGCAGTCTAATATTCCTGCTGTCTGTTATTCATGTTAATCAAACAACAAAAGAAAATCTCTCCCTGCTCTTGACTAAATCACTTTTGTAACTTTAATAAGAAGAAATATATATTTACACAGTAAAGAATAGGCAGTGTTTTTATACATTTGATTCATTAATACAATGTATGTAGCATTTCTTATTTATTTGTTCTACTGTAGTTGTTTTGTCCTATTGCTTGTAATTAGTTTCTTACTCTTATTTAATCACTGACTGTTTACTTGTCTTTAGTGAGCTTGAGCTTTTTTTATTTAGGCTAGCATTAGTTTTTTTGTGATATTGACACTGGTGACAAGAATTATGACATTTCTATGGTATCAAAAATGTTGATATAATAAAGACCTTATATAAAGCAAAAATAACTATATTGTGATATATATTGTTACTAGGGTTGCAAAAAGGTGGAAATATTTCAGAAATTTTGGAAACTTTCCAGGATTTTATGGAATATCCCAGGGATTTTTGGAAAGTTTTCGGAAATTTACCGGACATTTTCCACCCCTTTGCAACCCTAATTGTTACTGTGAAATAAAATTACTCATATTGTGATGGAAGATTTTGGCCATATCGCCCACCCCTAAATAATAATATAAACATAATAACTAATAAAATAATCATTGTTAAAATAATAATAATAATAATAATAATAATAAATACATAAGGAACACATCTAATATAATGCTATATTTAAAATATTTACATGTTGCTTGCAAACAGATGTATTCCATTAGAACAAACGCCTACTTTGGAACAACCTTCAAAAGAGAAATATGATTTTTGGGTCCAGGTGGTGCAGTTACTGAATCTACCAACAGAGGCTAATGGTCCATGCTAATCAGCCAAAACCTGACCCTTTGGTGTCCACTCAATCTGTTCTAAAATTACTAGCAAAACCCAAATAATTCCATTTTATTCAAGAACGAGTTTTAAAGAGCTCACTATAATCTCAATCTAGCACAATCTATCAGAGGTTTAGCGCTGTTATTAATCTGCTCTTTTTCAGTCTCTCACACAAAATTACATTTTATTATTAGCTGACCTTTGAGTGAAGTGTGTTTTGAAATTATATTTGTGATTAGGAGCAGGAGGAGGAGTAAGAGGTAGATTTGTTTCTCACTCTCCGACACACGAGCAGGGCATCGGTCTGAACTCTAACAGAGTGTCATTTCACATGGGTTTATAATCCCTCTCCATTTTAATTATGATGGTGTGGGCAATGTATGAGCCAGATACTGGTGCTCTGAGCACTTAAGCAGGGCATGCTGGGAACAAAGGAAAGGGAAACAATGTGATTACAAAGCACCAGTTGATGCAGAGTTTTTTTTTTTTTTAACTCATAATCTCATAGTAACCAATGCAAATGCAGACACCTGTGGAAGCCTCTGTTACTTGTCTCCCCATAATACATTGCAAGCATATCTCCGCGCTGCCCTGAATGGTGATGAGCTGCATTTTTAGGATCACTACACACTGCTACAGTGGATACACAAGCATTGATTTCACAGGTCAGCTGCTCTCAGTTGGAAATCAAGTGTAGCCTACAGGAGGTGGACACCCTTATGGATTCATGTCAACCTTGCTGTGCACTGTTATTCCTCTAAATACAGCTTTCAGCTTGTTAATGCAATTAATCACAATTAATCTCATGATTTATTGGCATTAACACTATTAGCAGTATATGATTCTTAAATAAACAAAGCTTCCAAAAGGGATTTTTGCAGCGATGCCACAGAAGAACCATTTTGGGTTCCCAAACAATCTTTCAGTGAACAGTTCTTAAAAGAAACATTTTCTTTTAGTGTGAAGAACATTTTAATAGTAATTTAAAACCTTTTCCAAAATAAATAATCTTTTGTGCACTGGAGATGTTGTTAGAGGTTCTTCATGGAGGCACAGATGGCAATAAAGCAGCTTCATTTTTAAAAGTGTACTGTATATTTTCTTATCAAAATGTATTGCATTCAGTTTTTCCTAACTCTTTAAAAGGAAAGAAAATTGAGTCAAATGCAAAAAGGTCTGCCAATATCACTCAACTTCTGTGACAATTAAATTCCACCAACTCCAACTAACTTCTGTTAAAAGTCCCATTTGGACGTGATTTATACATATGGTGGTTTCCAAAACTTATTGGAAATTACATGTTTAGCATAATTTTGAGTGAAAAGTTGAATTGAAAATGAAGTACAGCAGCATAAACTCTACCAGTTTGTTGAAACCTTTTTGTTTTCCAGCATGATTTGAAAATGATCATCTTGGGCTTCAATGACAACAAAAACACCTGACCATCAGTACAAAACGACATTTATTTGATTAGTGACTAGAAATTGTGCAGAATCTGAATTTTTTTAATTTTATGTCATAACATTTGTTTGTTTTGTTTTTTGTCCCATTACTGTATATTTTTAATTTTTAAATTAGATCAAAATAAGTCAGACTGAATTTACTTCATCTTTGAACTAAAAATTATTCAATACTATATAACAAGTTTTTGCAGTGGCTTGTACTTCACTGGTAATTCATTAAATAAAAAACATTGCATTTTTTCTTAACTTTAATTTTGTTATCATCTACATTTGATTTATACATAAGTGCACTGGGTCAGCTGGCCAATCAGAGCAGACTGCATTTGTCGGAAGGAGGGACTTTGTAGAAAACGAAGCGTTTGAGAGAGGCGGGGCATAGAGGACCTACAATAATGTACAGTATTTGAAAAATAATGTGTTTTTTGAACATTAAAACATGTCAACATATTCTGTTACACCAAATACACAAAATAATGATCTTTAAAAAAGCATCATATGACCCCTTTAAGAAACACCTTTTTCCATCATTTACTTATCTTGAGACAGGTAGTGGGATTGTTGTGCCCAAGCATTAAAGGCACCAAAAATTACAATTCTGTCATTAATTACTCACCCACAAGCCATTCCTAACCCGCAAGTCCTTCGTTCATCTTCAGAACACAAATGAAGATATTTGTGATGAAATCCGAGAGCTTTCTGACCCTCCATAGACAGCAACACAACTGAAATGTTCAAGGCCCAGAAAGGTAGTAAGAACATCGTTAAAATAGTCCATGTGACATCAGTGGTAGTAGACATTTCTGTTTTCTTTGTGCACTAAAAGTATTTTTGTAGCTTCGTAAAATTAAGGCCGAACCACTGATGTCACATGGACTGATGTCACTGGATGTCCTTACTACCTTTCTGGGCCTCAAACATGGTAGTTGCGTTGCTGTCTTTGCAGGGTCAGAAAGCTCTCGGATTTCATCAAAAATATCTTAATTTGTTTTTTAAAGATGAACGATGGTCTTACGGGTTTGGAACAAGTTGTGGGTGAGTAATTAATGATAGAATTTTCATTTTTGGATGATCTATGCCTTTAAACACAGACAACTGTGCAAAGTCTTGACTGTTCTGATCAGCCTTTGGAAATTATAGAACAGAACGAAGCATTAGGAATATGTACGTAAATGTTTGTTTACGTGAAAAAATGTGTTTTACTATACAGTCTTCCAAGAATCGTTCATCCGTGCTGCCGTCTTGCATGCACGGATCATAAGGCATGTAGTTATTAACCCTAGCATGTACTACGATTCATGAGGGTCAGGTGATTCACAGTTATGACTGACTGGAGTCGAATCTTTTGACATGACCCTCCTGCACGGCTGATCCAGAGAAGGACAATGAATCCATGTGGATTGAGTAAGCACCATGGATTGTGGCTGGCATCAGGACGTCTCTGTTCACTTCAGATCACAAACATTAGTATGCAGACCACATGCAAACACACACAATGTGGGCTGTGGGAAGATGCAGGCTTCAGCGATTTCAGACGGGAGTATGCTAGGGCAGGTAGCGGCGGTGTGACATTTCTCCCTTCCTGGGAGTGTCACTGATCCATTTCTAATTCAATTCCTGCATACTGCAAGCTATTACAATACTGAATTAGACCGAACAGGGTTGTGCGACAAACCGTATAGAGTGCAAAAGAAAGCTGTTTATATCTATCAGGAGGGGCA